ACCTCTGTTTACTAAAATCCTGCTCAGGGCCTCTGTTTACTAAAATCCTGCTCAGGGCCTTTGTTTATTAAAATCCTGCTCAGGGCCTTTGTTTATTAAAATCTAGCTCAGGGCCTTTGTTTAATAAAATTCGACGTTTCCTACAACACAAGTTGGATATTATTCAAAATCTATCACTTGGGCTTCAGGGAAATTATAAAAAATAATTGAAGTATAAAGAAAAATCCAAATAATACTTAATAATAATACTTACCAGATGAGGTCAGCCAAAATGATTTATCTGTATCATCAATATATTCATAGGCTTAGAATACAAGAACACTATTGAATGAGTAAGTCAAATTTTCAGTAGAGGACTAGACTGTTACATTTTCTCATAATCTAGTCATGCCACGCTTCAATGCAAGCAAATATGTTATGAGACCATTTCAATACGACTTCTGTATGACCCGAGATAGAACCAATCAAAGTGAATGGAATGCACCCTCTTTTATTTGCATTCAAATCAAGTAGCGCCAGTATTGGCAAGATTCTTTTTTAATTCGTATCTGCTGCATGTGCGTTGATAGTATCATTTTTATTTGTAGAACCAGGGTTAGATTTTTTTTAGAAGTAATCTTTTTAATTTCTTTTCTCTCTACCTAGTCTTCTCTTTTTCTCTCTACCTAGTCCTCTCTTTTTCTCTCTCTCGCTCTTTCTTTTATCTGACAACACAAGAATCAATTTAAAAAATGAAGTGGTGGTATAATCTGAACAGGGCCGGCATAGACCCATTGCAACCTATGCGGCCACAGTGAGCCCCGCACCTTCATAATTCCCGGCGCTAATTCTAGGTGTAAATTATAAAATTAAACCATTATAGCTTATATATAATAGCAGGGTTTCCCGGACTCCTGATTTTCCGGGGCCTCCTATTAAAATTTCCTGAAAAATAGACAAAATTGTCATTTATGGTGCCAATCGTACGAGGGATTAAAAAAACACGGCATTATCACCTTTTGTTAAATAAAATTATTGCAAAGATGAATGTATTTTCTAATACAAAATCTTAATTTTGACATTATGCTTATTCCTTTCCAGACTAGGCCCCGCGCAATGCGTTTCGCATAGGGCCGGCCCTGAACCTGAAAAATCACCTTTATAGGTCGCCGCTTTAAAGTAAGTTTGAAACAAACAATACAGAACTATACAATCTTTATAATAATAAGCACCTCACTAGCAGTGTGGTTAGTATGTGGGCTTGAGGAGGCGTGAGCCATGAATTTGAATTCAGGTATTTCCCTTTTTTAAATTTTATTATTATTTTTATTATTATTATTTATTTTTTAAAAATGTTTTTAAAAATCGATTACGGTAACATTCACCCAGATAACTCTTTCTTTCCCCATCTCACAACCCATGGTCCCAACTGGTCCAGATCAGTGATAAGATTATAGCGTATTGAAAAAAAGCTAAAAGCATGAACTAGCGCTAAACAAAAACAATTGGTAAAACTATTTCTAATCGCAATGATTTATTGTTGTTGGTCTAGATCTATTACAAATTTAATACTATGCAGTGTTAGATTTAGTGCTTAATTAAACTTCCATTTTCCATCGGACAGAAGACCTCTTTTCCTCGGGCTGCACATCTTTCTCTTCTAGAAAATCATATCATAAGGCGATATTTTTCAGCTTTCAAAATCTTTTGAGACCTTTTCCTCTAAAAAGTTAACGCACCTCGCAATTAAAGGATTTTACAAATCACAATTTCTCTTAATTCTCTTCTGTTTTATCTTCTTTTTTTCCTATAACATGCTGCAAGTTCAAAAGTGTTCCACAAACACAAAAACAAGTGGTAGAATTATGAATCGCACATATGTATTGTTGTTGGTCTAGATCAGTGGTCTTCAACGGGGGGCGCTACCGCCTCCGTGGGGGGGGGGGGGGGGCGATTTCATAAAAATGGGGGGGGGGGCGCTGGCAGCAAAAGGGGCGGTAGGGGGCGCTGGGCTAAATAAGGGGCGCTAGGGGTGCGCTGGACACATTAAGGTCAATACGGGGCGCAGAGAAGAAACTGAGGTGCTTTGAAACAAAAGAAAAACGTTTTCAATATAACACATTTTCTTCGAAGCCGGCACTGGCGAAGTATATATAGACAAATAATCATTTTATTTTTGGAGTGCGGGAATTCTTTGTTTCTATGATTTATATATCTAACAATTATTATATTTGTTTTTACTGCAACAGGAAGTGTTTTTTTTTCTCTTACAGTTTGTAGATTGATAAATAAACAAGGTAATAAGCTTTTTAAATTATAGTTTAGTATATCTACAATAACATAGTTAAATAATAAATATTATTTTACATTGTAAATGCTATTTCAGTATTTGGTTTAAATAATAAAGCAAGCGTTAAAATAAATGAGTGTAACGTTAATTTTACAGTAAAAGCATTGACAATGTCGACCAAGAAAAACAAACTCGCCAGTATTCAATAAATTATCTCCCCTTGGGTTTCATTGAATCGCCGCTAGATTCAAAATGAACGTATTCCAATGTGTCTACTTTCCATGAAAACATTTTGCAATGAGGCTATGAAACCAAATCGGCTTCAGGACCATTTTGTTGTAAATCTAAGGCAGGCAACTCAACGAAGTTCTACAGTAAATAAATGTGTTTATTTACCAGGACAAACATACAACAGCCTTCTGCATTCCAAGAGTCTTGTTATTAATTATACCAGTCTTTTCACCAGCAACCTGAATACGGACGAACGACAGCCTTCCCCGCTTCCCTCCAGGTCCCCTCTACAGTCTTCAGGAAACACAAAAGACGGCTCCTTAGTTTCCAACAATTCAGACTCTCCATAATCAGTTGATACACTGTTCTTTCCGCTATCCTAGCGTATTCCTGTTCTGGTTCAATAGTGCGGTCGTACGCACCACAAGCCCTGGTGCATGGCAGGGTTACAACAATATAAATACCAAGCATCCTGACAAAAAGACAAGTCCATTGAGTACCTTTAAAATATTCATGAGCAATTTAAAAAACGCTCGACTATTCAAATAATATTTAAAAAAAAAAAACAACAGCAAAGCAGAAGACGGTTTGATAGCCTCTTACAAAATTGCAGAGTTATTGCAAAAATTCAAAAGTCACAAAAACGTTGGTGAAAATTGATCATCCCAGCTTTAAGAGACGTCATTTCCACAGTGATGCATCAAGATCCCAATGAGATTTGGAAAGTATTACCGATAAGTGACACACCGATTCAAAGACGGGTTGATGAAATAGCCAGTGATGTGAAGCAACAACTTTTTTTAAGGAAACTTCAAAATAGAACATTTTCATTACAAATAGTCGAGTCAACATTGATTGATAATTCTTCATTGTTTCTTGGTTATGTACAATATTTGGATGATGATTTCAGTCTTAATGAGGAGCTTATTTTTTTATCTAAAAAACTTACCCGTGACTCATAAGAGGAGTCTATTTTTACCTTAGTAAAGACATTTTTTTGCAAATAATGAAATGCCTACAAAATTTAGTAGCACTATCAATGGTTGGACGCCACAAAGGCTTCATAAGTTTTATGAAAAAGAAAATCCAGAAATTTTATAATTCACTGTGATTCACAGCCCACAAATTCATTCATCTTTAAATCTGATTATAAAAACTGTAAACAAAATAAAAATCCATGCCAAAAATGAGCGCATCTTTCAACAGCTGTGTGAAGCAAATGATGAGCAACATGTTCTATTCTTATTATACACTGAGGTTCGCTGGCTGGAATTGTCTTGCTCCTTTTGCTGAATTTGTCAATACACTTTTTGGAGCAACAAGAAAATTTATCTGTTTGCAATGACTTGAAGGTTAAAAAAAGATTTTTTTTTAAATGGCAGGGATCTGTCGTAAAATGAATGAAATAAATTTGCAGCTGCAAGGAAAGAAATTAACCCTTATTGATACAAAGCAGATCATTGTCTCTTTTATTGAGAAATTGAATCTCTTTTACCACAATATTTCCAGAAATGAATTTTACAATCTCCCAGAACTCGCTTTGTTGACGAATGAATTACTGTCTGAGGACATTGATGTCTATGCCACTCACCTGAAAATGCTCAAGGAAAAATAAAAAAACTCACTTCCAGGATGTCATAAATTTAAAAATTGAAACATGGATGATTAATCCTTTTGAAACATCTATCACTGATGTTCAAGTTGATTTGCAGGAAGAAACGGTACAGTTTCAAAAAGATATCACCAGTCAAATGATTTTTAATAGTGGAGGCACAGAAGAGATGTGGCTGCAGCGAATTGTTCCTGTCAAATACACAAAAACTGGTCAAAAGTGGAATTGCTATTTTTAGCTTTTCCTTCAACTTATATGGCTGACACAGGATTTAGTGCCGTTACAAACATAATGAGTAAACCAAGAAATAGACTTGATGTAGCCACTAGAGGAGACCTTATAGACTTGATGTGGCCACTAGAGGAGACCTTATAGACGATGTAGCCACTAGAGGAGACCTTATAGACTTGATGTGGCCACTAGAGGAGACCTTATAGACTTGATGTAGCCACTAGAGGAGACCTTCGCCTTGCTTTGACTCATTTAAAGCCTGAAATTTCTAACATTGTTAAACTGCATGAGGCACAAGGTTCCCATTAGTTAAAAGCTCATTTATGTATGGTCAATTGTTTTTATTCATTTTAAATATGAAGACTAAATGTAAACTTTTAATGTAAACATTTTTTTTTATGTTCTATAATTTAAAATGTAATGTAAAAAAATATCAAAAACAATCAGTTTAACTTTTGTGTCCAAATCCTGTAAGCTATTTAACATTTTTTTACTAATAATTTAAAGATGAATTAACAATGTGTCAGTTACAATGCCTATATAAATCAATACATGTTCTTTTAGTACAATTTACCTTCTCAAATTTCTTTTTTTTTACTATTATTTTACTAATGATTGAAAACTTCTGCTACAAGATACGACTCAAAAACAAAAAGATTTGATTTTGGTAAAAGTTTTTATTATTGACAAGTGTTCACTTTTAACAAAGTCTATGGATGACCACAAACAGTCCAAAGTTTACAAATGGTCATCATTTCAACACATCACACAAAATGTACAGTCTCGTTCTGATTTTCAATGAATGTTTTTAGAAGTAGGTCAATAGTTCAATATTCATTTTAGGCGTGTGATGATAAAATAAAACTTTGTTGTGGTCTACAGATTATTAATAGTTAGACTCACTACTCAAAATATAATATATAGGCATAGTTCTTCTCTGTAATGGCAGAAAAAAATTGAAAGTATGTACATAATGTCTTCTATTTCAAAGATTAAGGATGAGTGCAGTGTTTCACCTGACTAAGCAAACCCATAAGGATTCAACAAAATATTTAATGAGGATTTCTTGCAAAATGTTCATTTTTTTTAAAAATTACATTCTCCATAAGATCAATTTTCCAAAGCATTTCAGGTAAATAATTTTTAAAATTTATAAAAGCATTTCTAAATATTATGAATAATACAATATATAATATATATATATATATATATATATATGAAACCTAGTGCCGTAAATTGTATTGTTTTACATATCTGCATACGTTTTCGCAATTTCATATTTTTGGGTAACTATTTTCTAATGTTAACAAAGCTTCCTACTTTCATATTGTTAACAAGACAATTATTAAGAAAATGAGAATGAAAATGTAAACCAAAATGATACTGTGAGTGCTACTTTTACAAGTAATCCTTCATCAAATATTTGGTTGAATCCTTACATGAAGCCAAATCCATCAATGAAATAGAGTTATATAAAACAATAACTCAACGAATGCATGATAAAGTTTTGAAGGTCACTTGATGTGTGCTACATCTCACCTCAACAATGAACCAATATTGATTAGTGACACTGAATACTTTTTTCTAACCATTATTTAATCATAGAGAAATATGTTCTCTTTTATGAAGCCATTTCCATGTCAATTGAAATAGGGAGAGGAAATTTAAAATCAAGTGGTTATTTAAAAAGCAACATTTTAAAAAGAATATAGATTCATTTAGCTTTGTAGAAGAATTAAATATAAAAACTTTAGATTATAAAATCTAATTATCAATATGTAAAAACTTAGATAAAAAAAACAGAACAAATCATTTTTGAAAACTTCCTTCCTGTTCTCTGAGCTATGAACACATTTTTTGTTTCTTTAACAGCCAAAAGAAAATTAATTTGTCGATTATACAAATTCATGGTACCTACAAAATAAAACTAACTTTGTAACTAAATGCAGAACAATATCTCTAATATTTTTAATATTAATCTTACAATGTGTTTTAGCAATGTTACAGTCATTTTTATGTCCATTTTTTTCAATCACTTCTACATTAAATTTCAGTAAGTGGGTGTGCTCATCAGAAACAAAGTTGACACTGGTCTAAAGTACAAAAATTTTATATAACATCAAAGAATAAATTATCACGGTTATTATCCAGAAAAACATAAAAATGATTTTGAGAGTTATGATTGCACTGAGCCTATGACTTAAAGCAACTCTATTATTTGAAAAGAATACTATTTTTATTTGCTCCCCCGAAACCAGAAGGTACAATTTTATATATTAAAAGCAACAAGAAAATAAATCAATAACAAGAAACTAAATTCAAAATGAATTTTATTTAGTGAGCACTAGAGTCTCTTGGACATGCCACAAAATTTCAGGTTGTTTTTAGTATGAACAAACAAGTACATTGAAAAAAGACAACATGGTGTGGAGAGAGATTTGACTTCATTTTGAAAGACTTTGGGTACAGATATTTTATTTCATTAACATTCAATCAGACACTCTAAAAAATCTGACTCATAACATTCAAAGTGATATCCAACCCTTTCCATTCCTCTCAATCATGGCAAGCAAAAAGGTCAAAATTCACAACAGTTTTATCAACATTCTAGTCATTCAAATAGTCCCCTAGCAAAAGACTTTGAAATACAAAATCTAAAAGTAGACACAAATGCAGGGACAAATAAATGAATCTCAACAGAGAAACCAGATGTACTGTATTTTCACGCGTATAACCCGCATACATGTATAATCCACACATGTATATAACCCCCACAAATTACAAAATAAGTAAAACTGTATAACCTGCAGCCTTATATACCCTGTATGTGCATAAGTGACTAGCAGTAAACTTGCCACAGATGATTAAAAATTCTCTGCCCCATCTGTACTATTTGTTTTCTTGAGGTTTATATAATATCATGTTCATAAAGCTTTCCAATGTACATTTCACAACCACACAGCAAACTATAAGAAGTATAGAGACCCACTGATATGTCCATAGTTTCCTTTATGCTATAGTTATGAGTAAAATAAATTTTGTACAACCTCAATATACCCCCCCTTCCCCCATAGCTGCCATTTGTTTGTAAAAACATGTAAAACCTGCGGGTCATATGCGCAAAAATAAGGTAATGTGGTTAAGAATCTATTAACATCTAATCTCATTTCAATATGAGCTTACTAAAAGAACATAAAAAAAAAAAAGCCTAAGAGAATCAACAGTTCAATGGATTACAAATACAGTTTTGTTGATGTTTCTGTAGGAGAACATCCCATAATACTACTTCTAGCTTTTTCCTGCTGAGCTCTACGCTCTGTTGCAGTCTGTGCCAAGAATAAAATAGCATGCTGTACAGAGTGTTGGTTATGTTTTCATATAATAAAAATCCTAGTTTATTTGGCATTATTTATTAGTCTGCCCACCATAAAATTTCATAATCAAATCCGAATACAGACAAAATAATGTATATTGCAATGGACTAAAAAGTTTTTTATAGAATGCTTTGACAATAGGCCACAGATCATCATATTTATTGAGGGCAAGTATTGATGATAATGTCATGAGTGTATTAAAACAATATCAAGTGTTCCATGAAACATTTTTTTAGATTGTGACATTGAAACAAAACTTGAAGCTATTTGATTGTTTAGATTAAGTCTACAACACACACAAAATATAAAAAGAAGAACCCTTTGAAAAAAAAAGTTCATGAGAGATCAATTTTTAAAAAATGGAAAAAAAAAAGAAAGGTTTAATGCTAAAAAAATATCAAAATAATAAAATATAATAATAATGACATAAGATTTTTTAAAACAGTAGTCATTCTTTATAGTTAACATAGTTATAAGTGAGATTCATTTCATAATTAATTGGATAGATATTAAAAAAAAATTCCTGTCACTTTAATTGCATTAATAAAATCATTAAAAAAAAAAAATCACCAATACTGACCATCAATCTTCATAAACTTCAAAACAATTAATATTTAGAAATTATTAGTTTGAAAACTTTCAGGATTTCATAAAACACAGTCTTTAAAATGAAATTAAATTGTTACAATGAGTCAACTTCCTGCAGAGCCACAGGATTGACAACACTAGTTTTCTCCCCTGCTTTAGCCTTAATTTTCGCTGCTGCCTCAGCCCTGAGCTCTGGATCTTCAGGTGTGTTTTCCACTGTAATAATTTTGTTGAACTGGTGCCAGCGCAGGCAGAGTTGAATGTACATTTTGCACTGAACATACATGAACACCAGCCCCCCCGTGAAGCCAATAGCCACCACAATTAGCTTGGTCCAAAATGGCCAGTCCAAGGCACCAGAATGAACCTCCTCTGTGCTGCGGTCAATAAGAACATACAGTGACCAGATGACGCAGGTGATGGCAATGATATGGAATGTCACTGAGCATATAATCTTGCGACGCTCCGCAGGTGTCATTGTCAATTTTTCCCACTGCAAAGAAAACAATTAAACACTCATAAGACTAGACACAATACATAAAGTAGATGGCTGCACACTTTTTAAAAAATCCTTATGTTTAGGTTGGTCAACATTGCAAAAGTAAAAACTAAGAGGAACAAAAAGTAAAACAATATTAAACTAAAAGAGGTCTAAATAAGTAAAGAATATTAGAATACTTCAGCCTAAGTCTTAATACTTAGTCCCTACTTTGGTTGATTTTCATCCTCAAGACCCTAACAGCCAATTAAACATGTATTAGAGTAGGGTTTCAGCTATACTTCAATGCATTTTTTTTTTGCATAACTTTTTCTTATATTAATTTTTTACTTAACACACCCCACTCCCAACATTTTCAAATACTATCAGCAATTTTTTTTTAATTTTTGATTAGCAATTTTTTTTTTCTTCTGTATACACTTTCAGCCTTGTCCTATTTTCAAAAATGTAAATATTATTTGTAAAAATTTATAATTTTGAGGAATTTTTTGTTTTTGTCTGACCCAAAACGAATAGTATAGAGATGTCATTTTATTGAATGTTTTGACTATAAAATGCCAAAGACATTTAATTGAAGGGTAATTTTTAATTGCATAATTTAAAAAAAAAAAAAGATTTTCAATTAATAAAAGTAAAGTTCCCCTTTCAGACCTTGAGATCTATTGGGCAAATGATGTTAAGATCATCTGTTCCTGTGGCCAACAGTTAACAAGCAAGGTGTCCTGAGACCAGCACAAAGACTAAAAGTCTTTACTTTCTCCAACTAAAGTACCCACTTGAGTTGGGTGGCCTCAGGGGTGCCCTAAAAATCCCAAAATTTAAAATTCAAATCTTCACTAAGATTAGAACCTAGGACCACAGGTTCAAAAACCAAGTGTTTAACAACTCGCCCACCACATCTCCTTTCAATTAATTACAAATTCAAATATATTTTCTATTAGTTCTAGTTTTCAAATTTAAAGGTGTGGTTTTTTTTTTGTCAAACAGAATAATGTCAAACAGAATGATAGTAAAAAAAAAAAAAGTTGTGTTTGCACAATAGAATTTGAAATATTAAAAACAAAAATTAAGCTTATCTATTAAGCATTACTTTCACACACACAAAAAAAGACTAACTTGTTTGAATGGTTTGGTCTTTGTGGTCATGACATATTCAAAGTTGCATAGTTCACAGGATTTCTTGTCTGAGCTTTTGATCCACTTCTGAAGGCAAGCAAGATGGATGAACTTTAGACTTCCAGAGCATAAACATGGGGAGATAAGTCTGAAAAACAAATACAAACATAAAAGAAATGCCAATTAAAAATAAAACTGATAAAATCTGTTATGATTATAAAAAAAAGTAAAAAAATTTTATTTTTGTTCTTATATTTTGGATGTTCCTTCAGAAAGGGAGATTATTACATCTTCTGCAGTAATGCAAGGGACAGCAGCAAGCAGGATTCTAGCTCCAGACCATCATGATAAAGTACAGAAGACCACATGACAAGGCAGCCATAATTACAGTACAAGTTGTCTATGTTTAAAAAATGTCTAAATCATTTTATATCTGTAGTTGTTCTGCGCATCTAGAGTTGCTTCTTGTGTGATGTTTCTCTTTTGTGCACTATAATGGTTTGTGCGCTCTAGTATGCGCTTTGATGTTGCTTCTTTGCCTCTGATGTGGTTGTGCTGATGGCGGATCTTTTGTTGGAGTTTTCTTTGGTGTTTTCTTCCCCAGTATTGGGTAAGTTAGTTTAGTTTGTTTTATTCTTTTT